CATCCTTCCTGTTCTTTCCTGTGTCTTGGATACCATAACATGGACCACAGCTTGTCCCTTGCAGTTCCAGGTAACCTCTCTAAACAGCTCATGATGTCTTCTACCTTTGCCCTGGCACAAATTTACTATGCCAGAGGTGTCCTCGCATACCTCACAGATCCAGGTCTCTGTGCCCTCTGCCACCACTTGCTTCTGCTTGACCTTGTGGATCTCCTCTGCTGTAGGACCTCCCTTGGTGTCTGTCTCCTGGAGCTCAGTTTGCAGTATGGGATGGCTGAAGGCATGCCTCCCTCCAGCCAGGGCTCTGCTCTGGACAGAATTGAAACTCCCATAGGAAGCTCTGGTTTGATGAGGACAACTAACTCCAGCTTCTCAGTTTAAGGGCCACCATACTGAGTTTCTTCACCTGGCACAGTCTTTTCTTAACCTTGGCAGGATCTCTTCTGCTTTGCAGGGATTCATTTCACCAGAATGTGCAAATCACTTGAGACATTCCCCTGTGCTAGAGTCTGTCCTATGTTTTTTTTTTTCTGGCAGAAATGCAGAAACAAAGATCAAACCAATTTCAGAAGAAGTCATTTTAGCAGCCTAAGGTAAAGCTTTGGAAAAGCCAGTCAGGAACAGAATTGCCTAGTAGGCATGGGTGATCTTTAGTGTTTATTCTTGTCTTGTTTTAACCCCAGCCAGCAACTGAGCACCACACAGCTGCTCTCTCAGTCCCCCCCAGTGGGATGGGGGAGAGAATCAGAAGAGTAAAAGTGAGAAAACTCGTGGGTTGAGATAAAGACAGTTTCATAGGGAAAGCAAAAGCTGCGCATGCAAGCAAAGCAAAACAAGGAATTCATTCACTGCTTCCCATCGGCAGGCAGGTGTTCAGCCATCTCCAGCACAGCAGGGCTCCTTCACACGTAATGGTGACTTGGGAAGACAAACACCATCACTCCGAATGTCCCCCCTTCCTTCTTCGTCCCCAGCTTTATATGCTGAGCATGACGTCACGTGGTGTGGGATATCCCTGTGGTCAGTTGGGGTCAGCTGTCCCGGCTGTGTCCCCTCCCAACTTCTTGTGCACCCCCAGCCTACTCGCTGGTGGGGTGGGGTGAGAAGCAGAAAAGGCCTTGACTCTGTGCAAGCCCTGCTCAGCAGTAGCTAAAACATCCCTGTGTTATCAACAGTGTTTTCAGTACAAATCCGAACCATAGCCCCATACGAGCTACTATGAAGAACATTAACTCTATCCCAGCCAAAACCAGCACAATTCTGTAGAGACACTCTCCAAGTAATGCTGACATTTGTAATGGCAGTATTAGTGAACTTAGTTGTTGTAACCATGTAGCCCTGTAATATGGTATTGCCATTGCTAGTAACAGGCCATAAGCTTTGTAATGAGTTTGCAAGGCCTCAGGGCTGAAGTTTGTCAAGCTTGCTCTGCTCGAACTTTTCTTCACCTGTTTGTAGTTTTGTTTGACCAGGTGCCCATGGCTAATTTGTTTTACTTTTGATTATCTTTGTACAGTACCACCAAGGTTTTACAACTCTAATGCACCGATGCAGTGTAGGTCTAGATGATGGCAGAGGCCTTTAGAAGTGGAGACACAAGGATATGGCATAGAGGTGTAGAGGCATGGGGCTGGATAAGAGGTGGGACATGGGCATGGCACTGGGGACTTCATGGCTATAAATGGCCTCTAATCCCTGGTTTTCCCAATCTAAACAATCCACCCACAGAAGCACAATGTGTGATTAGCCTCCAAATTGGCGGTTTTGTCTCATATCTCCTTACTAATTGGAGGATTCAGGATGTGCTGCTTCTGTTTTGTCCACGTGTTATAAAGCCATACAACCAGCCTGTACCATTTGCAGCTATCATGTGGCAGGCTTCTGTTGGAGAGTTCAAAAGTTCAATTTCCAACATTTCCCACCCCACACACATACATACAATTATCTGCTACCTGTTAACAGTTGCATTTTAAGCTATTTTTTCATCTACCACAGATATGAAGTGATGAAAAGTGGGAGGAAAATTTTGGTTTTGTAAGTGGCTGTGAGCAGCATCTAGGGCAGGCTGTGCTGAAGGATGTAGTAACATAGTTTGAAGGCAACAGATAGACTTATGAGAAAATGTCTCCTGAACTCTTTAACAATATTCATTTTGTATGAGTAAATTATCATTTTTAAGAGGTTTAATCTCGGCCAGTTTTCAGTAGGTTTTCATACAGATGACAAATTTTTATTCCTGATCACAATCTCAATATAGCTGTACCTTTTCCAAGGCACTGGACCACTGGAGTGCCTGTATAAACCCCTTAAGTTTGGTTGCTCTTGTTTTATTCTTTTGCATGGTGTTGAAAAGCAGTATAATAACTTCCAAAGCACTACTGAAATATTTTTGCTGAAACATTGCAAGAATACTCATCATAAGAAGAAACAAAAATAGTCAAAACAACTGAAATTATTTTTTGGAAAATGCAATCAAATACAAAGAGGCTTTTAAAGATAGGCTCTTGAGGAATTGTCTCTACAGGCAACACTATTTTCTCTGCTTGCAAGAGGGAGAGAATATGAAAAACCTGTAAATTACTGCCAACAAGATATGTATGTTTGAAAAAATTCAAGTTGCTTGTTTCACTTGCATGCCATTATGCCACTTCTTCAATAATTGTTATCATTTCTTCAGTTTCATGTTTTATTAATTGATTCTTATTTTCTGTCTATTAAAGGAAGAATAAAACATTTCATTAGTGTTTCATGCATGAGATTAGCCACGAGTTTACAATTTATGAATCTCCTGTTATTCAGAGAGTTGTTATTTATTATACAGAAGCTGTAGTGGGACTCTGTCAATAACAGGACTGAAGCAGACATGTCTAGGTCTTCCCTCCATGATGAGCTCCCCAAAGAGGAACAAAAGACTTTTCAACTCAAAAGCCAGAAAACTCATCTTTTTAAACACAGGAAAGTTAACATGATGAAGGAACAGAAAGTAAAAGGATTTATAAAGGCTCACCAATGATCCAGTGTGTCCTTGCAGACACATTCTTGCTTCCAGACCTGGCTGTAGCCAACTGAAAGACTTCCAGGAAATTGCAGCAAACTTTGCAATGTGCTCTCTAGATAGGCAGTTCCCCTCTGTTACTTGCAATGTCTGTCTGTCTGTTCCTTCTTCTCATGAGTGTCTCCAGCTCTTCGCATAAGCTAGAACCTCTCAGCTTTCTGCTATACTTTCTTGCTTACCATACCCTAGAAACTTTTCCTCCTTCAGCATCATTACCAAATACTAACAGGCGTCTCAACGTCTGCTATGGCACAACTATTTTTGGCCAGCAGTAGATTTCTTTGCCCCTTCTCCCCCCATAGCTGACCAACAGCCTGATTCTGCATTATTATTGGGCTGAGAAGCTTAGGCTCAGCACTATTCTAGTGATAGCATATGGCTTATAGGGAAAGCAGGGTGAAATTTTGTATTTTCTCCAATGCTCCAGGTAGACAGATGACAAGTGTTTCAGAATGGAAAAGGAAAAACAGAATTATTGCGTATGAACCTTCTCTTTCAATACCCCAAGAACAAAAAAAAGAAAGAAAATTTATCCTTGCTTCTGTGCATCTTTCTGACACTTAGGTCATACCTTTGAGACTGCAATGGATCCTTATTTACAACTAATTTCAGGCAAATAGAAAGAAAATGTACCTGGAAATCCATTGGAGAGATCTCATGGAATTGGCCTCTTGGCTGTGGTATTGTGGCAGATGTTTTTTTCAAATAAATGCTTCTACAATGACAAAAAGGGTTGGTGAAGAAAAGACTTAGTATGCAAACATATGAACATGTACTATATAAGAATGTTCCTGAGGTATTATTTTATTCCTCTAAGACAGGAGGAGTGAAAAAGTAACTAAAAATTACATAGGCTGAATACAATGGTATCATTTAATTGTTCAGAATTTGGATGATAATAATTTATTTTATGACTTAGTAAAGAATCATAGGAAGTTGCTTTTTTAAGTATCTAAAAGGGAAATGTCCTCAAAACAAGGAAACAATTTCATGTACCACCCATCTCCATTGCAAGGTCTGATGGCAGGAAAGCAGCACTGATATAAGGCCTTGTCCCACTATTGGAAAGTGTTGTGTTATATTGATCAAGTGGGTAAGAAGGTTGGGAATCAGAAATATAGAACCCACTTGAGAAACATCCAGCAGGTCATGATTCCTGCTATAATTCAGTGTTGATTTTCCCCCTCCCTCCTCTCCTTTAAAAGGAGGCCAGAAATTTTCTGTTGGGGAAAGAAGTGTTATTTCAACTTCAGAATAAAAATTTTGCACAAGAAATAAGGCTTACACTATGCAGAGAAAAAGTACGAGACTTGCTGCCAGGACTGGTATAAGAAATAACGTATATGATGGAGTAGATGTAAGTTGTTCTTTTCCTGAAAGACAATCAATCATCAAAGTATTGATTAGTATCACAGAACAGGAATGATTTCACAGCCATGTGCAATCTGCTTTGCATGACAGTGTCAAGCACCGGTATGAGGTGGCTTCTTCTTTAGCTTAACACCTCATTGCCCTGTAACATGTGAAGGAACGGGATGGATGACAGTGTGTGGACTGTCTACGGTAACTTGAGACATTACCAAGCATTTTGTGAGGAATTGAAGCCTAGAGAGTACGTCAAAATCCAAGGTGACAGAGCATAACAGGGGAAAAGAGACGTTTATAAAGCCAGAAGTAGAAATGGAAGAAGAAAAAGAGCTGGCAACAGACGTCAAAAGGGTCTGCTTTATTCACTGTCTCCTTGCAAGAAGCACCCACTATCACACCAGAATGCTTGGAGACCTCCCTCATACTAAGAGATACGCCAATTCTTCGCTCCTTTTCATCCTAGCAAACTAATGTGCAAAAATCAATGTGTTTCCATCTGTAAGTGTGAAGTAATAAACGAGGCAGACAAGTAATAACTGAGGGAAAACTAAGTCAAGGAGGTGATTTTCATTCTTACCAAACTCTATGGGTGTAGTCCACTCTCCCCAGCTTGTGCTCACTAAACAACCATTGTCAGTGGCTCTGATTTTGACGCTGTACCTTTTTTCTGCTCTGAAGCTCTCAAATATGTAGGAGTTTCCTCTGATGCTTCTTTCCTAAATACAAAACAACTAGACTGAGAACTTTTTATTTACTAGATGTACAGATGTTAAGAATGCATCAGGTTCATTTAATGATGCAAACAGTTACAAAAGAAAATTTTACACATACTTCTGTGAACAGGCTAGAGTGAAATAATAAATAGAAAATTGTCCTTTAATAAATTAGCTGGTTCCCCTAATTCCTTTTGTTTGAACATTTTTGTTATTGGTGATGTGAAGATGAAATTTGCAGTATTCTTCCCCGGCTCCTTAGCCTTTGCTAAACAATGGGACTTGGGGGAAAAAAAAAATCAATAGTTTATTTTCAGTCTGTAAATGTTTTATTTTACTATAAGGTAATTCTTTAAAGATCTGACGTTGCATTACCATGGATGTTTTCAAAACTAAAGTAGAGTTTAACAACCAGATTATACAGAAGGGAAAAATTTGACATACATTGAAATCCTTCTCAGAAGAATATTGAGCTTTCTTGAAAACCTGATTTTTTTTCTTCCTTCTTTATACTGGCTTAATCTTTCAGGTGATATTTTCTTGCCTCCTGCATCTCAACCCCTTCCAGAGACCATTAATAAAGAATAAAAGTCTTCCACATTTTGTGTGTCTAAGTGTAATGTGGAATTATGATCCATATTTATACATATATATGAATTTGGTAGGGAGTACAAAAGACTGTAAAATGGAAGATTTTGTGACTTGCATAGAAATAATAAAAAGTTCCACACGTGCAGGTATTTTTTGTATCATGTTCTATAAATAACAGTTTAAAACTTTGAGGTTAGGAAAATTGTCAATAAAGAGCATACATAGTATACTGAAACTAATAGTGTGAAACCAAAACAATTTGCTTTGAGGATGCTTTGATATAGGTGACATTTCAACCCAGCATAAATGTTAGATTAATACGGTAATAAAGACTTACTGTTTTAGATGTGGTTTTGATGTTTTTCTCAGGATCAGCCTAGCAACAAGAGAACATTTCAATTGTTATGATTGTTCTTTTTGTTACTATATAATAAGGGGTCCTGCCTTATGCATGTTTGATTTTCAGGGAAAAAAAAGTACATTTAATATTTTAAATGCGTTCTTTCAAAGACTATGAAGTTAAGCTGTTTGTATTAGGTTTGCGTGGCAAGGTTTTGGTAGCGGGGGGGCTACAGGGGTGGCTTCTGTGAGAAGCTGCTAGAAGCTTCCCCCCCATGTCCCACAGAGCCAATGCCAGCTGACTCCAAGACAGACCTGCCGCTGGCCAAGGCCGAGCTCATCAGCGATGGTGGTAGCGCCTCTGGGATAACATATTTAAGAAGGGGGGAAAGTTGCTGTGCAGCAGCAATTGCAGTCGAGATAGAAGAGTGAGAATACATGAAAGAATGTTGTGGTTTAACCCGGCAGGCAGCTGAGCACCACACAGCCGTTCACTCACTCCCTGTCCCCCCCGTGGGATGGGGGAGAGAATCGGAAAAAAAAAAAGTAAAATTCTTGGGTTGAGATAAAGACAGTTTAATAGGACAGAAAAGGAAGGGGAAAAAAAAATAATAATGATAAAAGAATATACAAAATAAGTGATGCACAATGCAGTTGCTCACCACCCACC